ACTGATGGTTCAGTGGTCACTTATTCCCTAGTAATGACTGATCGCCATCGACGGATGGCCCAGTCCTGACTTATGGCCCAGTCCTGACTTATGGCCCAGTCCTGACTTATGGCCCAGGCATGACTTATGGCTCTGTAGTTCACAATTAATCGAAACGGAATGCAACCTTAAATTAAAAAAATAGTTTTAACTATCAAAGTCCTGTGAGGTGGGAGGGGGTGGGGGTGGTCCTGAACCTCCCCTTTATACTGCGAATATCATAGAAAGCTAAAGAATGTTCCCATTGGATGTATGTCCATTTTTGCTACATGTCATTTTTTCCTATAACGAATGGGTCTCATTTGTTCCTATGCGTGAATACTTTGTGAATCATCGACGCATTGTTTTTTAAAGTTAAGTTTAGATTTTTCTTTAATAACTTAGTGAATGGTGTGAGTGCATGGTCTAATTCTGAGTAACAATGAAATAAATCTCACCCCTGAAATTTATATTAGCTATCTATTAACAATTAAATTTAAAAAAAAATAAAAAATAATAATCAATACAAAATTTTGCAGATTTATTAACTTTGTCACCCCCCCCCCCTTATCCCTTCTCCCCCTCCCTTTATTTTTCGTCCATGATTTACGGAACTTCTCTTGAATGTCTCAGCAGCAGGGGTTTGACATAATTAACAATTAAATTTAAAAAAAAAAAAAAAATAAAAATCCAAACAAAATTTTGCCGATTTTTTAACTTTTTCCCCCCCCCCCCCCTTATCCCTTCTCCCCCTCCCTTTATTTTTCGTCCATGATTTACGGAACTTCTCTTGAATGTCTCAGCAGCAGGGGTTTGACATGTTTTTTTCGTGTGTCAGCTCCACGGTCTGAGAATTTGTCATGTCTTTTCGTGTGTCTGCTACACGGTCTGAGAATTTATCATGTCTTTCTGTGGGTCTGATTCTCAGTCTTAGATTTTGTCTAGTCTTCATGTATCTGCTCCACAGTATGTCTTTTCGTGGATCTGCTACACAGTCTGAGAATTTGTCGTGTCTTTCGTGTATCTGCTCCACAGTATGTCTTTTCGTGTATCTGCTCCACAGTATGTCTTTTCATGTGTCTGCTCCACAGTATGTCTTTCATGTATCTGCTCCACAGTATGTCTTTTCGTGTGTCTGCTCCACAGTATGTCTTTCCAGTGTCTGCTCTATAGTCTGAGATTTTGTCATGTCTTTCGCGTATCTGCTCCACAGTCTGAGATTTTGTCATGTCTTTTCGTGTGTCTGCTCCACAGTCTGATATTATGTAATGTCTTTTCGCGAGTCTGCTCCATAGTCTGATATTATGTAATGTCTTTTCGCGTGTCTTCTCCACAGTCTGATATTATGTAATGTCTTTTCGCGTGTCTGCTCCACAGTCTGATATTATGTAATGTCTTTTCGCGTGTCTACTCCACAGTCTGAGATTTTAGTCATGTCTTTTCGCGTGTCTACTCCACAGTCTGAGACTTTTATCATGTCTTTTCGTGTGTCTGCTCCACAGTCTGAGATTTTTGTCATGTCTTTTTGCGTGTCTGCTCCACAGTCTGAGGTTTTGAGCTCCCATGAAACTGGTGTTCGTCTGCTGTCCCTCATGGCATCCTGTGACGTGCAGGTCTACCGCGCCTTGAGCCCTGGACCGGTGGCCAATGAAACAACACAAGCCGAGAAGGGGAGCAACCCGGCTTCGTTGACGACATCAGGCTCTTTGTTGATTCTCCTAGTTACATCCCTTGCAATGAGATTTGGAGGCTTTCAATAACCCTACTCACTGTTTAATGATTATAAAGCATATGTTTTTAAAAACTTATTTATTCCCCCCCCCCCCCCCCCTTTTTGATATTGTATTTATTTCATTAAGGAAGCCGGTTAGAGCATTGCAGTAAATATAGATTATTCAGCAGATCTATCGTAAATTTTATTTGAGAACAGACTTATTAAATAGTTTATATCAGTTCTCTTTAGTTCGTGGCTGGAAGGAAAAATCAAATCTTCGGACGGCTATCTGACCCACTCCTCGACAACCGATCGAGATGAAACTTGTCACATGGACTCGCTGCCGATGGCAACCTTATTCTTTCAAATTTTCAGCCTCCTCCCACCATATTTAGTTTTTCAAGGGGATGATGAAGGAAATATGATGCCACAGATATCTAGAAACAAAATACCCGATAAGTGCAGCTTTAGTGCGTAATATATAATATATATTTATTTTGTTTCTGAAATAGTTGGTGAAATGAATCTGCAATGTAAAAGGGGTGGGTCATTATATATATATATATATTGTTCAGGGGTGCGAAAAAAAAATGTACGGTTGCGAGCCTCGGTGTGAGGGGGGGGGGGGGCATTAATTAGGATAATTTTAAAGTGCATTACTTTTCTGATAGACTACGGTGCTGCGACCAAGTGCTGTCATATGTGCAACGGTTTGGGGAAACGATGCGGCCATCCTAACCGCTCCTAGCGGGTGCCAGGGGCAGCCTTGAAACTCTCCATTGANTTTCTGAAATAGTTGGTGAAATGAATCTGCAATGTAAAAGGGGTGGGTCATTATATATATATATTGTTCAGGGGTGCGAAAAAAAAATGTACGGTTGCGAGCCTCGGTGTGAGGGGGGGGGGGGAGCATTAATTAGGATAATTTTAAAGTGCATTACTTTTCTGATAGACTACGGTGCTGCGACCAAGTGCTGTCATATGTGCAACGGTTTTGGGAAACGATGCGGCCATCCTAACCGCTCCTAGCGGGTGCCAGGGGCAGCCTTGAAACTCTCCATTGATGTCGAGTCCACGGCGGCATTGTCCAGTTGGTTCCAAGCAATTATGGTTTGCATGTTTTGTCATATTTTCAGCCCCACTCCTGGATATTAAATTTTTTTTAAAGATTAATACAAAAAAACGGTTTTTTTGTTGTTTTTTTTAGGGTTGTTTGGAAATGTATTCAATGTATCGCTATTGTAGCAACTGGATGTCGTGCGTCATATGTGCTGAGATGTCGGTAATCATGAAAGGTTTGTGAAATGTTTTTTTTTAAATATTTTTTTTTTATAGATGTGTCTCTGAGATGGTTAGAGTGGAAGAAACGCATTTCGGGTCATGGGAAATGCCTTGATCCGGAGATCCATGTTCGTTATTTTCCTTATTGAGCTATACAAGTAAAAAAAAAAAAAATATTAAAAAAAATCAAGATTTTGCGCTGCATCTAGGGATGTCATTCATGAACATTTAATGTACGCAATTTTTTCGGTGCGCAAAAATGAACCGTCTTTCCTGTGCGCGCGGTGCGTTGTGGCGAGTGGCAAGTTACCGGTCGTCTGAACGTTGTCCTCGTTGTGGCGAGTGGCAAGTTACCGGTCGTCTGAACGTTGTCCTCGTTGTGGCGAGTGGCAAGTTACCGGTCGTCTGAACGTTGTCCTCGTTGTGGCGAGTGGCGAGTTACCGGTCGTCTGAACGTTGTCCTCGTTGTGGCGAGTGGCGAGTTACCGGTCGTCTGAACGTTGTCCTCGTTGTGGCGAGTGGCAAGTTACCGGTCGTCTGAACGTTGTCCTTATTGAATAATCATTCCTAGATCAAGACTGGCAAGAGACCAGATTACAAAATATCCACAGCTGCCGCGAATGGAAGGTAAAATTCGCCACGCTATACATAAATTGGATCACAGTAAATAAAGAATTAAGCAGATCACATTTTAACCTAAATTATTGAATAATCATTCCTAGACCAAGACTAGCGAGACCAGTTAACAAAATTTCCAGTTTTGACGAATGAAGAAAGGTAAAATTCGCCCCGCTACACATAAATTGGATCAAAGTAAATGAAGAAATAAGCTGATCACATTTTAACCTAAATCCTAATCGTTGCGCTCCAAGTCCGGTTAAAACAGTGGTTCTCAACCTTCCTAATGCCGCGACCCTTTAACACAGTTCCTGGTGTTGTGGCGACCCCCAACCACATTTTTTTTTTCGTTGATACTTCACAACTGTAGAGTACATGTGTTTTCCGGTGGTCTTGGACGCCCCTGTGAAAGGGTCGTTCGACCCTCAAAGGGGTCGCGACCGACAGGTTGAAAACCGCTGGGTTAAAACATTAACAGAGAAATTGGTGCTGGCATTGTTTCAATTTGATTCTTCTAAGAAGATGTGGCCATGTATGAGCATCTCCGTCTACACAGTAGTGTTCAGTTCTCGTTTGGAGTCGATTAGAGCCATAACAGTTTTGAAGGCAATGCTTGAAGAATGTAATAGCAATTTGCAAGATTTAGTGCTAGTGAAATTCATTGTCTTTGTTAGAGGTTTCTCTAGATTTATCGCCGAACAATATACACAAAATGTGAACGGTGTATCTACAACACAGAAATTGACCTATGACCGAAACACAATAATCGTGCAGCTTCCTTAAGCCAATGGCGCGCAAAACGTCAAGTCGCAACATATTTTGGGGGGCTTTCGATAGTAATTAAACAGCACCTAAAAGCAAAGTTTTTCCTATAAATCTTTTAAATGCGTTTTTAAATTGCAATCACCAACAAATCCACACCGCGTTTTGATTGATTGATTGATTGGACATTTATATAGCGCTGGTATCCATGCTACTTTAGCATGCTCATAAGACAGCTTTGCTCATGACGTGAAAGCAACAAATCCACAACACATGGCAATCAACCAACAAATCCATCCACAGCACATAGCAATCAACCAACAAATCCACAGCACATGGCAATCAACCAACAAATCCACAGCACATAGCAATCAACCAACAAATCCACAGCACATAGCAATCAACCAACAAATCCACAGCACATAGCAATCAACCAACAATTCCACAGCACATGGCAATCAACCAACAAATCCACAGCACATAGCAATCAACCAACAATTCCACAGCACATGGCAATCAACCAACAATTCCACAGCACATAGCAATCAACCAACAAATCCACAGCACATAGCAATCAACCAACAAATCCACAGCACTGAGCATTAATGACAAGTTCAGAATTTTACCACTTTATTAAAAATAAATTTTGACCAAAAAATAAAACGATATTATTTCATTTTTAAAAATTTTCAATTCCATAGATGAAATAACTTTGTTGGATATACCATTACTAAATTTAATGTGACCTTAAGGAACTGTGTTGAGAAAAGAATGATGAGATCTTGCCAGAGGAAAGCAGATATCTTTTAAAGTAAAGCTGTGGGTTTCATTTTAAATCAGAATTTTAAGATAATTTTTTGATTACTTGATGCAATATGAAAACTAGAAGTACTAGAAGTAGAAGAGGGGACAAGTTTGTAAAAAGTTTATCAATCCCATTGAAAACATAAATTGAAAGCTATGATAAACTGAAAACATTATTTGAAAGCTATGATAAACTGAAAACATATTTTGAAAGCTAAAATAAACTGAAAACATATTTTGAAAGCTATAATAAACTGAAAACATGAAAACATATTTTGAAAGCTAAAATAAACTGAAATCATGAAAACATATGTTGAAAGCTATACTAAACTGAAAACTTAATTTGAAAGCTTTAATAAACTGAAAACATAAATTGAAAGCTATGATAAACTGAAAACATATTTTGAAAGCTATAATAAACTGAAAACATAATTTGAAATCTAAAATAAACTGAAAACATATTTTGAAAGCTAAAATAAACTGAAAACATGAAAACATATTTTGAAAGCTACAATAAACTGAAAACATATTTTGAAAGCTATAATACTCTGAAAACTTAATTTGAAAGCTTTAATAACCTGAAAACATAAATTGAAAGCTATGATAAACTGAAAACATATTTTGAAAGCCATAATAAACTGAAAACATAATTTGAAATCTAAAATAAACTGAAAACATATTTTGAAAGCTATAATAAACTGAAAACATAAATTGAAAGCTATAATAAACTGAAAGCATATTTTGAAAGCTCTGATCTCCTCCTGGCCCTCTCACTAGATAATCCTGTTTCATTCTTAATGCTTAATTATAGAATAAAGCACCAGATTCTTATGGCAGATAAGCCCAGAACATATCTAAAGTGCCCTGAAAATTTATGGTGTTTAAGACGTAGGCCAAGATATGTTGCCGTTGTGATAATGGCATTACACAAAAAGATCAACCTTTTTTTATCATCCTGGTTGATATTTGATGATGGTCAATGAGACAATTGTGAAACCGTGCATCTATCAATAAACTATTGATGTTGATTATCAATAAAAAGAATAAAAACTGCACAACTTTATGTAGAGCTGGTTAACAGCTAAATTGAAATGCACAACCAAAAAAAGCTACAAGTTTTGTTATATACAAACATTGGATGTATAAAGCAAACATTTCTTGTACTGTATGGATGTTTAGAGCAAGAATTTCTTGTACTGTATTGATGTTTAAAACTTATTTAATTTCAGTTAGCAGGAAACAGTCATTTGCAGTTTGCCTAATTATTTATTCAATGAATTTTTTTTAAAAAGGGCTTTGTTGTAGCAACATTTCACTCTATTCCAAAACTGTCTACCAGTCAGACACGCAATAACTTCTAAACATATTTGTTAATAAACTATTTCGTCTCAAGAAATTTCACAGTCACATTCTTCAACAGTCACATTATTCAATTGGCCACATTATTTCATTCCCATATATTCAAAGTCCTATTATTTCAGTCACATTCTTCAATGGGTCACATTATTTCGTCAATTTAGAATGGTTTATTTTGTATATAGTTGACAAACATGTCGAGCGCGGGTCTCGGTTTGTCTGTGGGGACCATGTGGCCAGCTCCCTGGGGAACAAAAAAATAAAACAAATAATCAAGTTAAGAGACATCAACAGTGTGTTCCGCATGAAAATTATTTGAACTGTTTGAATGAGAATTTAAGTTTAAGTGAAAATAATTTATTCCCTCAGTGCCAGCCAGGGTTGCAAACTCAATTTACTGACCACTATTTTGTAGCTTAAAATTTTTTGGACACTTTTTTAAAAATTAGGAAAAATTTCTGTTTTTTGTGTTGTTTTTTCTTTACGGACATCCAAAAGTTTTTACAGACAAGCATATGAAAACTATTACGGACTGTCTGTAAATTTACAGACAGTTGACAGCACTGCTAAGCCCACTTGTCTTTGTTACAAAATGTTATTTAAATGACCATTTGTGCACAAGTGTAGATGAGCACTCTATGAACCCAAAGGATTGGAATTGAATGTAGACAAAACTTAAATGGGGGGGGGGGGGGTTTAAATCAATTTTTAAAAATATTTTCTAATGCATTTGAAGAAGTTTTAATTTATCTTCTACTTTTCAGTGGTGTTTTAACTCATCTCTGATAGAAAGTTGTTTTTTTTTTAAAGTGTTTTTTTTCCCTATTTTTAGTACCCGGTATTAAATTGTTAGTTTCAAATTATCAGCAAAAGTTGTTTTTTTTTAAAAATTGATTGATTGAACAATCCAGATGAAAGTGACTTTACTCTTTAGCTGGGCGTAAAACTAAAAAAATCAGGATCTGAGCTCACCCACCCACCCTTTCACTCAACCCGATCAACTATAATAATTTGAAAGACAGCATCAACCCGCCTCCATCAACCCAGTATCAGACCTGTTTACCCATGAAATCCAAAAATTGTATAATATCATCTCAAAATCGTATAATAAAGCGTATAAATAAACACACCTTATATATAATTTATACAGTAACTACTTGCATCAGCGTGTCTAGTGCAGTGGTCAGCAAATTCATTAGTCAATAAAGCCAAAAAAATTAGTGGCAGGACGATTAACCAAATTTCGAATCAAGAACCCGTCAAAAAACATGTTTTTGAAGTCAAAACCCTTTTGTGGCCAGCTGGCCGAGCCGCACTCATGTCGTTAAAGACCGGCATGCGGCTCAGGAGCCGCGTTTGGCCGACCACTGGTCTAGTGGAACTGAGTTGAGCTGACATCAAAAAAGGTAACTTCTTAAAGTAGATGACTGACGCTTATATTGCAATCTGCAGTCACTTTGTTTTGCAAATGTGTATCGGCTATAGATATTCATTAATAATTAGATGAACCTGCAGATCACATTATCACAGCCTGTCACTGGTAAAAATAAAGTTACTGGTGAAATTTAATGTGACTTTAAGTCAGATCAGCATAAAATAAAATTTAGTAAGATAAGAATTAATTAACAAATTAGGGCGTCATTTAAAAAAAAACAACTCCCAGGTAACTTGAGATTTAATTTTAGGAAAATATGTTGTTTTTTAAAAAAAAAAAAAAAAAAAAAACTCCCAGGTAAATTGAGATTTAATTTTAAGAAAATATTTTTTTTTTTAAAAAAAAAAAAAAAAAAAAAAAGAATCAATATCCATTATGCCTTGATTCGCTCTATCTTGTCCACATCTTGCTTTAGGTGTAGGTCCCAGATGATCGCACCATATTCTAGTAGTGGACGATAGGCATTTCATTTGCAGGTAGTTGGGCAGTGGCGCGGATTTCTTTGAATGAAACCTAGTGTGGAGTTGGCTTTTTTTTTAAATTTTGTTTATATGGGGCGACCATTTTAGGTTATTTGAGAAGAGAATTCCAAGGTATGGATTGATTGATACTTGTTGGAGAATTGTCTCGTTTAGTGAGTACATATAGGTTGATTTTTTTTTTCTTGAGATGCTCATTGTGTAGCATTTGGTTTCGTTAAATTTCATGCCCCATTTGTCTGCCCAATTCATAAGACACTTCAAATCTGCTTGGAGGTGGTTGTGGTCATCGTAGCCGCTTATCTCTCTGTAGACAAGACAGTCATCTGCAAACAGCCTCACTTGAGATTTTAAAGTATCAGGGAGGTCGTTTTTGTGAGAGAGAAAGAGAAGGGGGTCCAGCATTGTGCCTTGAGGAACTCCTGAGTCTACGGTGGCGTTCCCTGATCTGACGCCGTCTACCACTACCTGCATGGTACTTTGTTTTAGGAATGTTGAGAGCCAGAAGTGAAGGTTGCCGGTAATGCCGTAGTGGTGGAGCTTATGTAGAAGAAGGCTGTGTGGAACATTATCGAAGGCCTTGGAGAAGTCGAGAATTGCCAAAGACGACCTGGATACCTTTCTCATAGGAGGCAATGAGGTCATTGGTGGTAACGATTAATTGAGTTTCTGTTGAGAATCCAGAGCGGAAACCATGGTTTAGGTTGGTCAAAATGTTGTATTGTTCAAGGTGGTTCATGATGTGGCGACAGATGATGTGTTCTAGAATTTTGCATGGGACGGAGGTCAGGGATATTGGGCGGTAGTTTGCTTTGTTATGACGGTCACTTTTCTTGTAGGCACTAGTGATATTTGCCTCAAGCCAGTCTAGAGGAAGTTTGCCGGAGTCAATCGTCTTTTGGAAAATGTGGGTCATGGTTGGGGCAATGTTGTCAGCCAGGGTCTTCAGGACAATGTTCGGGATACAGTCACGTCGGCACTTTATTTGGGTTTCAGGTCTTTGAGAAGTTTGGCTACTCCTGTTTCAGTTATGTTCAGGGGGCCTATTGTACCAGGTGATGGCTATAGGGATGGTATGACTGTGGTGGAAATTTTGGTGTAGACGGATATTTTTATGGGTCTCTAGATTCATGTTCTTAAGCTTGGCCTTGGGCTGTTTTAGTGATTAAATATCAGAGTTACTAAAAAAAATTTTTTTTAAATTGTTGACACCACAGCATGTTTGCATTCGACAGTTCGGCGGTTGATACATTTCCCTGAGGTTAATCCTCATTTGATGACCAAATAAAAAAAAGAGAGACTAAAATGAGTTCCAAAAAGTACTCACTCTAATTGTTACAAAAGTGACCCGGTTAAAAGCCTTCACAAATCCGGCCACTTGTGTGGTGCCGTCCTCTGCTTTGTAGTACCATTTCCTCCTCTTCTGAGGGTTCTGAAGATGAAAAACAAGAGAAGGTCAGGGTGACATCCCAACACTTTCACATTTAATACAGCACTGGTCACTGTGGTGAGATTTAAAGTCTTGTGTCATCTTAATAGTTTTAAGTGGAATGTGAAAGACACATCTATTTCACCAAACACCTTCTGGGATGATTGTCTACCATATCTTCCATTTAATGCATATTGGCTGTGTTGCTTAGGGTTGAAATGGGTAGAAAGACTTTGACTTGGTATGCTTGTAATTAGTTTTTGTAGTGTTGCGCTTGTTTTAAATGAGGTAAATTAATTTTTTTTTTTTAAATTTGTACCGCGCTTCGAGCCTTTGGGAATGAAGCGTGTTTTTGAAATAAACTTTATTATTATTAATGTTATCAATAAAGAATGGCATTATTATAGCTTCCCTCGACATAAAGTAAATAATCCCTATTGTGCTAGCTGGAAATGCACACTTCATATCCACACAAAGCTCATCGGCTTCACCAGATTTTTTTTTTCTCCATTATAGCCGCATGATGCAGATGGGCATCTATTCATGAATACCGTCCTCTTAGCAGTGCATGCACTCTAACATGTTTACTTCATGTCTACATGGTTAAAGCACAGTTTTTAAAAACAAAATAGTTCACACTGCCCAATTTTTATCAAATTTTGAGTTTTTTTTACACTGATGAATTAAATATTTGTCAGGAATGGACTCACATGAGGAATTTAATAGTAATTTAGATGGTATTTATTGATAGTCATGTTAAGTATGCTCGTACAGGCTGGTGTTCAAACCCAAAGATCACCTACAGTCTCATACATTTCCACATGTGGTAGGGGAAATGCAACCATGTTTGGTAGGGAAAATGTATGACCTTTTGGTGGGACTTGGAATTGAACACCAGCCTGTAGTAATATTGTATCTTACAGACAGGGCTGCACATGTCAAAACATTTGTATAATCTAATCTTATTTCAATAGCTCCAAAAGAATATTGATAATTTGAATAACTCTCAAAGAATATTGATTATTGCAATAACTCTAAAAGAATATTGACCTAGACAGGCTTATTTGAATAATTTTTAAAAATATTACCATTAGTCAAGGTTTGATAAGAAAGAAACACACATTTTGTTGTCCAATATTGATAAGGCAACAATGCCATAATGCCATGAGTTAATTTACCTCAATATCCAGTGAGTCTACAAACCACTCATCCCCAAGGAAGTTGCAAGCCATATCCACATCACCATTGTAAACAAGGATGCGCAGCTGAAACAGAAAAAAAAAAAAAGAAGCAATCGGATCAAGTTGAAAAACTTAACTAAAACTGTTGGACAAGTATCAAAATTAGTGAATGATGGATAGTGAACAAAAAAAAAACAATTTTAAAAAAAAATTAATTAATTTTTTTTTCGAATTATCAAAGGTTATATTCTATTTCATTTGCCATTGTAAAAATCTGGACAGACCTTTCTACTGATTGCTTTTTGGTACTGTGCCGCCATTGTGGAATATATCCTGACATAGTTATTGCCCACTACAGTGCTGCAAACAGAGAAATGCCCAATGAATTTCCTGGTACATTTGATATTATATTAAAAATTGTTTTCTATAAAAGTAAAAGTTTTGCATAATAAATAATTAATAATGGGGCTTCAGCGTCAATTCTTTTGAAAAAAAAAAAAAATCTCTTATTCAGGGTCTCAGTCATCTCTTGAAGTTAAATAGTTCAGCATCCGCAGAGTAACAATCAAAATGGTCAGGACTCATTTTGGTCACCTGGTAAATTTTTTTTTTTTAAAGCTTGTTACTTGGTGCTGATCATGCAGCCTTTGAGGGGACTAGTCCTAGGCAACCGTTTGGTCCCAGCTGCTTTGTGACATAATCATAGAATAGAAATCATGTGTAGAAACCCTCCCAGAGGGCATCTGTCGCCACCCCTGGATGGGAAGGGGTGTTTTGGGGACATTAAAACGTATCCATCTCAGCTCGTAGAAAGTTCGACTGCGGGAACTGTGAGAGCACCACCACCAGCCAACTAGGTGCTGTGACAGCAGCACCGCCAGCCAACCAGGTACTATGAGAGCAGCACCACCAGCCGACCAGGTGCTATGAGAGCAGCACCACCAGCCGACCAGGTGCTGTGAGAGCACCACCACCAGCCAACTAGGTGCTGTGACAGCAGCACCAACAGCCAACCAGGTACTATGAGAGCAGCACCACCAGCCGACCAGGTGCTATGAGAGCACCACCACCAGCCAACTAAGTGCTGTGACAGCACCACCACCAGCCAACTAGGTGCTGTGACAGCAGCACCACCAGCCAACCAGGTACTATGAGAGCAGCACCACCAGCCGACCAGGTGCTGTGAGAGCAGCACCACCAGCCGACAAGGTGCTGTGAGAGCAGCACCCCCAGCTGACAAGGTGTTTCTTCACTGATGCCACTTCACTCGCATAGTCAGTCAAGTGGGAGGCAGATGGGGCTGTCTCAGGGGTGGAATGCCCCTGACATGCCGCTTCACATCCCGATTGGAAAAAGACTAGGGGGTGATTACACTGAAGGGCGGTTGGGAGGGGGGAAATGCATTTGGGGAAGACTTAATGAGCTCTGGCTTAATAGTTTGCTTGTTTCTCTTAAGAGAGTTGGTTAGTTATAGCTGGTTAAATAAGGAGAAGATATACAAAAGGGTATACAAGCTACATTTGAGAAAAAAATGACATAAAATTGGTGTTGATGATTCAAATTAAACAATTCTTTGTACAAGAGTTTATAGACACCTTCATTGGTCCCTAATTTTTTTTTTTTTTTTTTTTCACATTGTTTATATAAGCCATTAAAATTATACCATAGTTCTTTTTTTTTTTTGATCTTTAAATAAAATATATCCTTGTGTCCATTCAAATTATTTTTTTTTTTACATAAAATTGGTGTTGATGATTCAAATTAAACAATTCTTTGTACAAGAGTTTATAGACACCTTCATTGGTCCCTAATTTTTTTTTTTTTTTTTCACATTGTTTATAGAAGCCATTAAAATTAGACCATAGTTCTATTATTGTTATGATCTCTAAATAAAATATCTGCTCGTGACCATTCAAATTAATTTTTTTTTTATGTTCCCATACTTGAACTGGTTGTTGTGCCAGGCTCGACGCTGTCAACAACAAGTGGTCATCAGAGATAGAAGAGGGGGCTAAATGTCAATGACTTCATGGGTCCTTGCAAGTTTTGCTTACCTGCATATATCCCAGGCTTCAGCCTTATCTGAGATGTGGAGGGCCTTCTTAACGGGGTCAGAGTTCAGATAGTTGATGGCGCTGGTGTCATTGGTGCATGGAGGTGTCGAGATGAGTCTTTTGATGGGGATATTTTTCAACCTCTGTGAGAATCAAAGGAGAAATAGTTCGACCCAGTGGTGTTCAATAATATTTAGTGGAGAGGTCCTCTTTTAAATTAATATGCAGGATCCTATCGCTGATTTTAAATAACATATAAAAAAACAAGGTGCATATTACAGTAGTTCTTCCTGGACAATGTAGTGGCATTGGGCAATTACAGGATTTAAACACATTTAATTAATAGTACTTTTTTTGTGAACAAATCAATTGATTAAAATCTGGCCTCTTTAACTGGGAGGACCTTTGAGGTTTGGACCCCTGACCTGAATTTTCTCCAGCACAAGATTTTTAAAAATGTCTCTATCCTGAGCTACAAAATATGGTACGCCTAAATTGTTAATCTAGTCCAACAGCAGTGCTGCTCCCTTTGGTCCACCAAAAGTGGTGCTCACTGTATTTTACACTTTACTCACCCCAAACATCTCTTGATGGGCGGGCGAACTGAACGGAAAAACAAAGTCTGATGCATAAAAGCAGTATGGCACAAAATTTCATAATTCGAAACTTGTAAAGCACATGCGGCTTATGGGTAAACCATTAGCCGTCGTGGCAAAATCCTATCGATAAATGACAAAGGTTACTTTTGGGGAATCCAAAGTTATAATTTTTTTTTTTTCAAATAAAAAAATTCCAGACTAGCCTGACTAACCGGAATTTCTATTTTCCAAGTTTTCATGACCAGGCAATTATATTAAATGGATGCCCAACTATTTCTCATTTTCCCCACTGTGAAGGGGACCCTGGTTTTAAATATAACCCTGAAGACTTAAGCCGAACTTTTTTTTGGCCAAAAAAAAAAAAAATCCCGTTAATTAAAATTTACATTTATCCTCTGGGACAGCTCATTCGTTAAGAACACGAAAGGCCAACCAAAATGGCTGGTGACATATTTCCCTCTACTGGAGTCGTAATGCAGCACATGATCCTTTGCTCCTCCGGCACAGTTGGCGTACAAGTTGTACACATTCAGCCCTGAGCTCCAGACCAGTACTTGCACTTTATTAAGCTGGAAACAAAGCAAACAAAAATTTGTCTGGAATCAAATAGGTCAATCTAAAGTAAAATTGGCTACAAGGAAGGAACACGGAATAAAAGAAACAATGTAAAATATGTTTTGAAATATATAAAAATATATTTCTTTTGTTTCGTACACTTTATGTTTTTATCAAATAAATGAGCCAAAAATTTTGTTGCAGGCAAGTACCTGCTTGATTAGGGGGCTGAAAGCCTCCATGCACCTCCCACATCTTGTAGCCACCACTGGGTGTTCAAATAAGTTTTGAAAAAATAAAAAATGAGTTTCTATCACCACCGAATGTGAGACTCACTGGCCAAAGTATTTTAAACAACAAGAGTATATAAAGACCTTAAATCATCACTGTCAGGTCAACAAACTTTGACCTGGTTTTATTCCTTATGTTTTAGTCATCTAAAGTACATGATACATTACGTTTCCTTTGTCATCATGACCAACCCACAGATTAAATAGAAGGCACAAGGTGCAGTTTGTACGTGTTGACCCTTAGTAGTTTTAAACTCTGTTACAGTGATCTAAATTACCCCAAGAACAAAAGACACTCATGTGTACATTGTCAAACAAGCTACTACTCACAGCTGTAGCACATTTCTGAGATCTGCCACTCCCAGCAACAAAGTCACATCCATAAACTGTTGTGTTGCCAGCACAGCAGGCATTGAGGATATCAAGCCATTCCCTGGTTGGGTTTACAAGAAATTCATGTGTGGATTATAGGTGGTTCATTCAGTTGAGTAGTTCTCAGTTCTTTGTAACAATCTTCACAAGGGACAGTGCCAGGGAGCTTGTGTCATGGATCTTGAGTCAGGTTGTCAGGGAGCTTGTGTCAGGTTGTCAGGGAGCTTGTGTAAGGTTGTCAGCCAGCTTGTGTCAGGTTGTCAGGGAACTTGTGTCAGGCTGTCAGGAAGTTTGTGTCAGGTTTTCAGGCAGCTTGTGTCAGGGAGCTTGTGTCAGGGAGCTTGTCAGGGAGCTTGTGTCAGGGAGCTTGTGTCAGGTTGTCAGGGAGCTTGTGTCAGGGAGCTTGTGTCAGGTTGTCAGGGAGCTTGTGTCAGGTTGTCAGGGAGCTTGTGTCAGGTTGTCAGGGAACTTGTGTCAGGTTGTCAGTAAGCTTGTGTCAGGTTGTCAGGCAGCTTGTGTCAGGGAGCTTGTGTCAGGTTGTCAGGGAGCTTGTGTCAGGTTTTCAGGGAACTTGTGTCAGGGAGCATGAGTTGGGTTGTCAGGGAGCTTGTGTCAGGGAGCTTGTGTCAGGTTGTCAGGGAGCTTGTGTCAGGTTGTCAGGGAACTTGTGTCAGGTTTTCAGGGAACTTGTGTCAGGGAGCATGAGTTGGGTTGTCAGGGAGCTTGTGTCAGGGAGCTTGTGTCGGGTTGTCTCCCTCGAACACAGTCCAACAGTCCCTACTTGTGTCAGGTTTTCAGGGAACTTGTGTCAGGGAGCATGAGTTGGGTTGTCAGGGAGCTTGTGTCAGGGAGCTTGTGTCAGGTTGTCAGGGAGCTTGTGTCAGGTTGTCAGGGAGCTTGTGTCAGGGAGTTAGTGGACACACTCAAGCAATGTTAAAATCATTACAATGGAAAGTGAAAGTGAGTTGCTAGACATGTGTAATGGTTTAATCTGGGAAAAAATTAATGGAATTTTGATGTTTTAAAAAGCCAGAGCCAAATGAAAATGTCATCATTTTGTCCAGACCAGAGGTTCTCAACACTTTGCGTACCATAGACGTCCATTGGTCTTCTAGCAGAGCTGATGACTCATTGAATATTGGATTTTTGTTTGAGGATAGTAATTTTTTTTTTAAACAAACATTCTCTAAAAACTTCACGGCCCCCTCCCCCCCCCCCCTCAAGACCCTGCTGGCCCAAAGTTGAGAAGCACTGGTCTAGCCAAACATGTTAAAGATTCTTACTGAGACTGATATGCAATAAATGAACAATACATAGTCACGTGACAATGCAGCACTGGTGCACAATGATTACCATCTGTGTCCTAAACCATAATAATAACAGCAAAAGGTCTCAATACTTTTGCTAACTGTTACAATGTTACAGCGACACGATTAACTTACTCATCTCCCAGGAGTCCATGGTAATAAGCAAAGTAGACAATGGAGTTATCATTCATTGTATTGTCAGACAGGCCATTTCCGACAACGAAGCCCTGAAAATATAGGTCATTCATGATCTTAAACAACAGGTCGTTCGCAGTATTGTCAGACAGTTCATTTAAGGGTACATTATTGCCAGATATGTCACTCCGACAACCCAAGCCCCGAAATATTGCTTTGAACAAACTTTGGGACTCATAATTTAGCAGCCTTAAGCCATGATGCAAGTCAAACAAATGTTTTGATAGCATTCATTTTTTTTTGGTGCCATTGCGCTACAAGGTCAGCATTAAACATTTATCAACATGAGTATATATTGTTTTGTATGTTTTATTTTGTTGAAAATATTGATGCAATCCTGCTAGTTGTAATTCTGGTAGCTGCTAATATTGTAGTAGCTAATATTGTAGTACTCCTTCTGAACAGCTTAGAGATTTTTCTGTCTTAGTTAAGTTAAAATTTACAACAAAAATTGAACTGGTCCAACTCAAACTAAAATTCTGAATAAATTATGTTCATGAATTGAGAGCTTTTGTCTAAATATAATAGGTGACTTAGATATCAAATGAACAGTCTAATGTTTTGAGATAAAAAAAAAAAATTATAAGATGTGTCAAACTGTAAAAAATACATATAAAATAAATGTCCATCTATTTCATCAATGGGTTATCTGAATAAATCTGCATTTTTCTCATCAAATTGGCATCTAAATAAATGTTTATCTATCTCATCAAATGGCCATCTAAAAAATTGTCCATCTAGCCCATCAACAAGACATCTAAACAAATGTCCGTCTAGCTCATCATTGGATCATCTGAATAAATGTCCATCTAGCTCATGACAAATCTAAATTAATGCCCATCTACCTCTTGAATGGGGCAACCAAAATAAGATAAGAAAGCAAGCAATTACCCAAATAAGAACGCCATACATTCAAGTAATCTAAGACTACTGAAGCGAGAGTTGCCACAAAATACCTTCAAGTTGATCGATGGATCATCTAAGACTACTGAAGCTAGAGGTGGGACAAAATACCTTCAAGTTGATCGATGGATCATCTAAGACTACTGAAGCTAGAGGTGGGACAAAATACCTTCAAGTTGATCGATGAATCATCTAAGACTACTGAAGCTAGAGGTGGGACAACATACCTTCAAGTTGATCGATGGATCATCTAAGACCACTGAAGCTAGTGTTGGGACATAGATACCACCATAACTTTCTCCGGAGATGAAAAAATCATTTTCAGAATACTCTGGAAACTTTCCAAAGAAGTCTTGCAAGGCGAGGTGGTTATTTCTTGCAACCTGCAACACAACAAGATTATAAATTGTAGCAACAAGGATCCAAATTGTTACTGTGTGAAAACTTAACAAGAAACTTGGTCAGGTACATAAGCCAAATAACAGTTTTAAAATCTAAATATAAATAAGTAAAAATGTATTTTTAAAATGTACTTATAAATAAAAGAAAAATTATTTTTAAAATGTACTTATAAATAAAAGAAAAATTATTTTTAAAATCTACTTATAAATAAAAGAAAAATTATTTTTAACATCTACTTATAAATAATAAATATTTTAGTCAATGTGCTTACATCATCATCATCTGTGGTGTAGTTACCATCATCAGAGTAAGAAAATCCCACACCAGCCGGAGCCTCAAGGTAGATCATGTTGGCTACCTTTCAGAATAAAGTATATAATAAAACCAGATTTCAGAATACACACAAGGCAAGTTATTTGACAACCTCATGTTGCTATTGACAACCTCATGTTGCTATTGACAACCTCATGTTGCCAATGACATACAAGCCTGTGTCCATTGTAAAAGATGATTTTACAATTTTTGTTCCCGTAAATCTCTAAAATTGTGGTATCTGCTCAGCAACAAATTCAGAGCAAAAGACAGTGCCTGCATCTTAAAAAACTGCTCTGAGAGAGGTTTGTATGTGAATTAAATTTGAAACTTTTTTCAAAAATGTAGCAGCACACAAACATTTTAGTAAGCCTAAATTTTCTTTCTGAGAGCAAAAGCAGCTAAAAAAAAATTAAAATTAAACCTTCTAAAACTCTTTATAATTTGATATGAATTTGTGTTTTAATGTACTTTTTCAAACAGTTGTTAACTTTCCTGGCAGTCACAGCTAAATGACCTGATTAAAAATTAATGAAACAAAAATACTTTTTTTTTTTTTAATTTAAATGTTCAACAAGTTTTAAAAGCAAGTTTTACCTGATTCCAAGCAAATGGAAAGGGCTGTAACGTTTTCCCATCTGGTTGGATCTGTTTAAATTTTTAAAACTTTAAATATCAAACTTTAAATAAAATGCAGATACGCAAGAATTATTGTTCTTTGAATAATTTCAAAAGCAAGAAATTTTTAAGTAGGCATACTATTTTAAAAGTTGATACAGTTTTCTAGATGTTTAAAATTCTGTAGATATAAAATAGCTTCCCCAAAAAAATAAAAATAATGATAACAACATGTAAATGTATATGTTATTTAAAAAATGAACTTTTTATTAAAAACCATGATAAGCCATAGAAGACCCATTAAAGGCCATGACAAACCCTGAAAGGCCCATGTTCTGTAAGAAATCCATGCAGTGAGCTGCAGCCCGGTCCACCATTCATCCACAATACAACGGGATCAGTTTTCGGATTGCTTGATGATTCCACAAACCTAACAGCAGTGAAAGTGACTTCAAAAAATATACCAAGCTTAAATTTATATAAAACTAGACCAAAACTTCCCAAGCAGCAAATGTCCCTTTTAGATAAATGGTTCCAAACTGGCAGAGCCCATTTTAGAATAATTTTCTATGGGGGAGGGAGCACATTGGGCCTAAGCTTATGTCTTTAAGTTAAGTGTGTTGTTTTATTTCCTGGAGAGATTGAGCCTTTGAGAAGGGGATGCTGAGTCCTTAGGGCTCCACAGATCACAGGCTAGGAACCATTGCTTTATATTAACTAAAAATTCATCCCTCAAAAACTTTATTATACTCATCATGTAGAACAGTGGTTCTCAACCTTTCTAATGCCCTTTAATAGTTACTCGGGTTGTGGTAACCCCCAACCATAAAATTATTTTGGTTACTACTTCATAATAAATGTGTTTCCCGATGGTTTTAGGTGACCCCTGTGTAAGAGTTGTTCGGCCCCCAAAGGGGTCACGACCCAAAGGGGTCACGACCCAAAGGTTGAGAACCACTGATGTAGAAGATAGTAAGTGTGGCTATTTTTTTATCATTATGCAAGCTTATCTTCATCCTTTAAATTAAAAAAAAAATTATATATTTCTTTTATCATAAATATGTTTGCTCCAATCAATGAAATAGTAGGACAAGGTATGTGGATGTCTCAATTGAAAGACAGAACAATACAATAAGAACGTTTCAACTAAGAGCCGTCCTCAGCAGACAGGACATATGAAAATATGACAAGAAATAAAAACAAGTTAAAAAAGTGACCGCCATTGTTGTTGCCAGAAGTTGGATTTGCTCCAATCAACTAGCACTTTGAATCAAATTAAATAATTACAAACAATGCAATTTATTTTTTTTAAAATAGAAATTATCTCAAAAGACTGACCAGTAATGTAATCTTTTAGTGCCAACACCTTTAAGATACCCAGAGTATTGTTTGAAGTTCGGTTTCCATGACAAGCCGGGGAGCTCTGTCACCAGATCCCCTGCAGGTGCAGCATGAACTAGTGCTATCAAAACTGCAGAGGACACTAATATTGCTACAAAGACATTCATTCTGAGGAACTGAAAAAAAAAGGATTTCCCTTTAAAATGAGCCTTTTATGGTTATTAAAAAATTGGCATCACCAAATATTTTAAAGTAGGCCTCCTGCAAAAAAATATACATTTTGAAAAAAATCCCAGGCATAAAATTCATTCTGTCTGGAACTTCTGTGACAACAGGAAACCAAGCTTTTTTTTGCATCATAATTGCAAACATTAAATAAACAACACTAAACAGTGCCAACGGAAACACAAAATTATTTTTGTCACATGAACCAGTACAAAAATGTATAAAGTTGGCATATTTTTTTTATACATAAAAGTGTTAGTAAAACAATAGTTCAGTTTGGTAAGATGAGCAACCTTTTCTATGGATTTTTTTTAATGTACATAGAAACTGTGGGGGCTTTCCAGAACATCACCAAAGATAAGGTAAGGGGGAAAAGAAACAAGAAGTTTTGTTGAATTATCGCATTTAAACAGATACTTTGATTTACAGAGCATTGCTACATTCGGAAAATGATTCAGATCGACAGTCATTATCGTGGTGTGGGGTGGGGAAGGTAGGTGAACAGAAAGCACGGGCGCTAAAGGCTCCCAAGCAAGTTCAGATGACTTGTCTGAGCAGAGGAAAAGCCTTCTGTGGTTTTCCACAGGTCATTCTAGTGTACAAGTTATTATTTTACAACCTAGCATGCCTCATCCTCTACACCAGCAATTCCCAAACATTTAAGTTTGGTGAACCGGTTTCAGATTGCACCAGTGCCAGATTTATTTAATATTTTTCTTTTATCTGACCTTAAATATGTTATAAAATATTTTTTATCCACAATAAACCAATTGTGTTTGTTTTTTTACTAAAATGTGCGAAACAGCAATGTACCAACAATTTACGGCTCACTGACCGGCGACAGTCCCTGGACCACAGTTCTCAGAATGCTGCTCTACACATCATGTAAACGGGACTTTATAATTAAAGTTGTTATTCATAACTTGGAGATGCCCCCAGACCAGTTAGGGGTGCCAAAATGGGCTTTGGTGGCATTTTATTAATGAAAATTATGCTTTATTACAGTAATGAGTAGACCAATTAAAAACAAGTCTCCGCTATTTTAGGTTTGCTACACTACTTGCTTCACTTAATTTTCCAGGCCTAGGTCTATTAGTTATTATAAGTCTAATTTTTTTTTTTTAGCCTAGGCTAGTAGTTAGAAAAGATAGAAGTTTAAATTTAAATAAAAAAAGATTGGGCTACAGTTATCTGTTGAATTTTTTAAAATGGGCTATCTATAATTAAGTAATACGTATTAAGGTTAAGACAGTTAAGTGGGCTCCACTAAAGACTAACGAGTACTAAAGTTCTTAAGTCTTAAGTGTCTTAAATTAAAAACCTCATTTGGCGAGTTCGCTGGTACTTTTGTGTATCTAGTAATGGTCATATTTTAAATTGAATTAAAAAACTAAGTGATTATTGAGTCGGCTTGGAATACCGTTGAACTAGCAGTAAAAATCATTAACACTGAGCGTTAAACTAACTTAAACACAGTTGGCTTGAAAAAATGTTGAGCACTATTACCAGCCGACTGAGTATAATCATAGTAACATAGTGCTATCATTATAAAGTCTGTTAAAATTAAAATTACAGACCACAGACCATAAATTTCCTTACATGTTTTATTCAAAGTGGCTATTCGGACCGGGGTATCAGAGGTGAGAGGTTGGGATTTTAAAAAATATCATTGTTGATGTTGGGTTTGTAAGACAAAATTTGGTATCAAATAAAAGATAATTGAATGGACTAACTAAAATAAAGTACCACAAATGACATTCGAATAGCATTTAGTCTACTAAAGTGGCACTGGTATGCATAGCCGTTATCCGGACCTGGGTCTCTTTAGACTAAATGCTATTCTGATGTCGTTTGTGGTAGTTTATTTTAGTTAAACTGAAGAAGTAAGTTTACAATACAAACATATAGGCTAGTACATTCAATTATCTTTCATTTGATACCAAATTTTATCATACAAACTCAACAATAATACTTTTAATAGTTTTTAATAAACCCAACCTCTCACTTCTGATACCGGTCCGAATAGACTATAATAGACACAGCCTTTTTTATTCATTATTCACTGCTAGTACCCTGGCGATGGAAAACAATTTATCGGCTGGCCGGCTGGAAATAACACTGAATTTGAGTGTTATAGTTATAAGTTATAGGCATAGGCCTACACAATCGGCTGGGCATCACGTTGAGAGTTAAGCGTTGAGAGTTAAGCGGTGTAGTGTATAACTTATATTATATAATATTTAAATACGCCCCCCCCCCTTTTTTTTAGACTCACTTCTTTCTATTATAATTATTTCTGATTCTAGTAGACGGCTCGCCTACCATCAGATTTTAAAGTTGGCTACAAATTTTACAAATCAGATGAGTCATTGAATTTGAATCAATGGGCTGAATGGATGAATGAACTCAACATGGCCTAGGCCTAAGCCTAAGCCGCATCAGAATAATTAAGTAATTAAGTCTAAGTGAAACCAAGTGCCAAAGGCTAAGACTAAACTTAGTTACTAAGTTAATAGAAACAAAGTAAGTAATTAACATTACATGTCATTGAATTGATTAACGATTGCTAAAATAAAATTTACTACTAGTATAGGACTATTATTAAAATTAAATATTAATATTAGTATTAGTATTAGATCAATTTTAAAAATATCAGATCAATTCATCGATTGGCGGTAGTCACACAAAAAAGAAAACTTTAAATGAGGTAAATAAATGTTTCATTTATCATTTATCTGCCTCCATGATAATAATTTTAGCATTCTAGGTCTTACCGAAATCAAAACTGGACAGGGGTTTTTACAGGACAAACTGAGCTGGCGAACTGTTGCAAGTTGCCAACGAATCTCTGTCAAAACTTTTTTTTTTATTTCCCTCTTGCACATGAATGACCTACTAAAGTTGATCACGTGACATTATATAAACCGTTGCATAGATAAACAAAGTAGTCACATGACAAGAAGAGCACGTGCCGCATACTGCTTAATGACAATGCATTATTTAATGCTACAAAAGCTTGCATACATTAAGAATTATTTTGCCATTCGAATGGTGGCAATTAGAAATATTCCAAAAGTTTTGTGGTAATTTTTGTGTGTCCCAAAATATAAGCCTGAACTGGCGTGGATTGTATTTTATTGATGAAAACAAGTTTTCAGAGTTGAGGAGGCATTAAATGAATCTTGTCTCCGGGCGCCAAACGCTAGGTACTCCTCGGGTAGGTGGGGGGGGGGGCGCTCTTATTTTATTATAGCTTATACAGTGGATCCCCGCATCACGAAAAATCAGCATAACGAAGGCTGATGTTCGCCCAAAAAAATGACTCGCATATCGAATCTGCGAGCCATGGCCATTTAACATGAGAAGAAATTTGAAGATTAAATTTAACCAATTTAAAACAGGCTTCTGGGCACTTACTAAGTTAGCTTAGAGTTTGAACAGCGGGCTAAATTCATGTGACTTTGGACTAAATGATAACACACTATTAGCTAGGGCTGGTGTCAACCCGTGTGGTTAACTCATGGTTCTTGACAGGTTCTTGAAATGAAATTTGGCTTTATTTTTTTTATTATTTTTTTTTTTTTAATCGTCCTGCTGCTGATTTTTGCTTCTCTTTACTAATGAGTTTGCCGACCACTGGCCTATTGCAATGGAAAGCTTTATTTCACGGCATTTAGATAAACATAGCATCCTGTCACTTACGAAAGTTACCAAACACTTCAATCGGCGTTGAATCATAGTCAAAACGATTTTTTTTGTTACCTCATTATAGGCTCACCTTATTTCTGACGCATCAACCTTGAGCTTAAAAAAACGAACACAGATTTGGACTGGTTACATGTGTGGAAAACTTAATGGCCACGGTTATACTTTTATAAAATTCGGTTAGACCGAGCTTTAAATAATTTTTAAAAAAAATAATTTTGGGTAACCGTGAAACGTGGAAATATTTAAATTTTAGATAATGCTCGGATATTTTAATGTTTCGTTCAATATGTAGGCCTACCTAGAATCATCAAGACTGTGAATATAATCATTATGACTATGAATATAATCATGTTACTTTGAATATACCGGTAATCATTATGACTATGAATATGACCATGATCAGTGACGTAGCGAGGGTGTTTGGCGCCCGGGGACAAGATACGCGCCCGGGGACAAGATCCATTTTAAAGCGCTCCCTTTTCTTTTTTTCAACTCTCAAATCCATTATTTTTACCATTTTACCAATAATATGATATCAAATCACATTTTGGCGCCCATAACTAGCTTGCGCCGGGGAATCTGTCCCCCCCTGCCCCCCCCCAGTCGCTACGCCTCTGACCATGATGATTTTTAATCTAATCATTATGACTATGAATATAATCGTTAACTTTATGATTTTAACAACCCTTAGTGTGGACACATAACTTCTTTTTAAGGAAATACTTTTTTTTTTTTTTTGTGTTAAATTCATTTATTAGTGAAGTAAGGTAAACTGTAGAAGAATAAATAGTTTGATTTTAAAAAAAACAACAACTCTAAAACACAATACTTTTTAGAAAAATCTGAAAATAAAGTAGACCCATTTGTATACCGTAATAACAACCAGGTCAAGGGAACCAATTTCGAGTAGCGCATCTTCTGTTAAGTGATTAAGTATCGAATGATTTGAAACTCAGGCCAGGTGCCAAAATGCACAGCCCCCACCCCAAAGCATTTTGAATTTATCGAAAATTCTAGGGGGGGGGGGGTCATAAATCCACCTACCCGAACCCCCATCACACCTTTCGCTCAGGAGCCTCCTTCCCCGACCAAAGTGACAACAACAACAACAATAAAAACAAATCGGACTAGTATAGACCTCGTCTATAATTTAAAATGATTTGACTGAACTCACAGAAATATGACATTCCTTTAGTTTTGTATTATAATCATGTAGGAGGAGTGGGGAAAAATAATTGAAGAAATGTGACTTTAAAAAAAAAAAAAAATTAAAAAAAAACTTACTGTTATTATAATGTATGCCCCCCACCTCGCCTCCCTCTGCACACCCACCCCGACCCCCTTCCCCTCTACCCACCCCAACCCTAAAACCGAGCTGGAGAAGAGATAACAAAATATCAACTATAAACAGGAAACATATTTTTTAAGACGCAAACAAATCCAATCGTCTTATACATTTGCATAAGTTACTGCTAATTTGCATGAAAGTAAACTTTCTCTGTCTCTTTATTTCTCTCGTTCTCTCAGATCTAGGCGTGCGGTGGGTTTCGGCGAGTGGTCATTACACCTGTTATCAACGGGAACAGATCGGGGGGTGCAGTCCCGTCCCCCCCCCCCCCATGGATGGTCGTTACACAGCTTTCAATCGTTACACCGTTCGCTTTCAGCGCTAGTTGTGTGCACCATTAAAATAATGGGCTGTTGATACCATCTTGGCTGAAGTTTTAAACTTTAAATCTATGGAGATTTTTTGTGGTATGTAAGGTAGTCATAGTCAAGGTTGGGGGGGGGGAAGGGGGGTTACCGTATATATTAAAATAAGCGCGACTTTTTGGGGGATGTTTAAAAAACCATTACAATCGCAAACTTCTAATTATTATTTATTGACGCGATTTATAGACACACATCTCCCCCGTGTCACCTTTCTAACTTAGAAATTCACATCTCCCCCATGTCACCTTTCTAACTTAGAAATTCACATCTCCCCCATGTCACCTTTCTAACTTGGGACTTCACATCTCCCCCATGTCACCTTTCTAACTTGGGACTTCACATCTCCCCCATGTTACCTTTCTAACTTAGGACTTCACATCTTCCCCATGTCCCAATTCCAACGTAGGAATTCACATCTCCCCTATGTCCCCATTCCAACCTAGGAATTCACATCTCCCATATGTCCCCATTTTAACCTAGGAATTCACATCTCCCCTATGTCCCCATTTTAACCTAGGAATTCACATCTCCCCTATGTCCCTATTTTAACCTAGGAATTCACATCTCCCCTATGTCCCTATTTTAACCTAGGAATTCACAAGTCCCCTATGTCACCTTTCCCACCATGGAAGGCGCATCTGATGTCCGCTTTAGTCTTATCACTGATTACAGCCCGAAGCTCGGTTCCGGCAATACGAGATAGAAGTGGAAGAATTAGTTTATAAAAATTACGTTGAAATCGTTATCTCAGCGAAACAAATTTTATCTTTTTATTTTCATAATGTAATTTTTTTTTTCTTTTTAAACTGAAAAGATCTCTTCACAAGTTTGATATTGAGCAACTCATTTACAAAAACAATTTAAATTACACCAATGATTCTATTTCTATTATTCAGACCCATAAACAAGACCTGTAAATGATGATAAAGGGTAAGACTGCAGATATCTCGGGTAGAAGGAAATATGTAAAAGAAGGTTCAGGAAAGAGGGGGGGGGGGTGTGGACATGAAACAACAAAACAAAGAACGTGTTGGCAAGAAGCCTTCGCCAGAGCACAGTTGAAACAAAGAGTTGTTTGTTTGTTTGTTTGTTTATTCAGACCCATAAACAAGACCTGTAAATGATGATAAAGGGTAAGACTGCAGATATCTCGGGTAGAAGGAAATATGTAAAAGAAGGTTCAGGAAAGAGGGGGGGGGGGGGGGGGCATGAAAAAACAAAAAAAAGAACGGGTTGGGAAGAAGCCTTCGCCCGGGCCCAGTTGAAACAAAGGGTGGGTTGGTTGGTTGTTTGTTTTTTTTTTTTTTTTTTTTTTTTTTTTTTTTTTTTTTTTTTTTTTTTTTTTTTGTAAATTATAATAATAAAAAATTTGGAAAATTAATTCCGAGGAATGATTCAAACTTTTTAAAAAAATAAACACGATTGTATTCAGTATCATAATCTTATAAGCAAGATCATATAAACGGTTAGATTTTCGCTTTCACCTAACCAAATACGGTAAAAGTAAGACAGCCCGTTCGTTACCCCTTGTAATGGCCATAACCCATCCAGAGTTGTCATCCTTGCGATCCACACCCACTCCCAGAAACAAGGGGCAACAATTTGGATTATACTTGTGACGTAAGTAGCTTTTTTTAAAATTTGGGATAATTTGTCCCTATTCACCATTTAATGCACACTCAATAAAACATGCATACATATAAATTATGCTCACACCTTTAATAACACATACAAATTCAATCACACAAACAAATTCAATCATGCATACTAGTCAGCCGTTAGAATGCTTGTAATCAAGGTTGTGCCAAGGAAAAGCGGCGCCCTATACGAAGCCTGAAAATGGCGCCCGCCAATTTATAGAAAAATTTTAAACAATTAATATACATACAACCATTAAACACATTTACCCGTTTATACACATTCAATCACTTCTACTCATTCAATCACCTTTACTCATTCAATCACCTCTACATATTCAATCACCTCATCTCATTCAATCACCTCTACACATTCAATCACCTCTCCACATTCAATCACCTCTACTCATTCAATCACCTCATCTCATTCAATCACCTCTACATATTCAATCACCTCTACTCATTCAATCACCTCTACACATTCAATCACCTCATCTCATCCAATCACCTCTACTCATCCAATCACCTCATCTCATCCAATCACCTCTACACATTCAATCACCTCTACTCATCCAATCACCTCTACTCATTCAATCACCTCTACTCATCTAATCACCTCTACTCATCCAATCACCTCTACTCATCCAATCACCTCTACTCATCCAATCACCTCATCTCATCCAATCACCTCTACACATTCAATCACCTCATCTCATCCAATCACCTCTACTCATCCAATCACCTCTACTCATCCAATCACCTCTACATATTCAATCACCTCTACTCATTCAATCACCTCATCTCATCCAATCACCTCATCTCATCCAATCACCTCTACTCATCCAATCACCTCTACTCATCCAATCACCTCTACTCATCCAAT